GAATGCCGAAGACTGCCAGCAAACCACCCGAATGAAGCTAGGGAAGAAGCATGAAACAGGCCCTCAGAAGGAAGCAACCTTGCTAACACCTTGGTCTCAGCCTCTGGAACTGTGAGACAATAAAATTCTTTTCCTTTTTTTTTCTTTAAGCCACCTAGCTTGTGGTGCTTTGTTATGACAGCCCTAGCAAACTAATATTAATACATAGGCCAAGATTGGAAACACAGAACTAGGAGTTGTTAAACAAAGGCTAATTAAAGCTGTGAATGAAACTGCCCAGAAGCATTTCACTTAGGGATGCATGCTCGCCCAGCTCCAGACCACTGAAGCAGCAGCACAGAGGAAAAATGTGTTTCTGATTGGCTGCTTTCTTCTCGCCACCACTCCTCACACCCCAGGACCTCCTCAGAGCAGCACCAACAACCATACAGCCACACACTCATCAGCTGAACTTGCTGGCAGTTTGTCAAGGCAAAAAACAATCACATTCGATAAATTATCTCTGCATAGACAGTGGGTGAGTTAAGACGAATCACACAGTGTGTTATGTAGAACCAGGACATTTCTTAAATTTAATGATCTGAATAAAGAAAGGCTTAAATACCAGAAAAAGAGAATCTCATCTCTCTCAAAATGGTACGAGAGGACTTCCCTGGTGGCGCAGCGGTTGAGAGTTCACCTGCCGATGCAGGGGACACAGGTTCGTGCCCCGGTCCGGGAAGATCCCACATGCCGCGGAGCGGCTGGGCCCGTGAGCCATGGCCGCTGAGCCTGTGCGTCCGGAGCCTGTGCTCCGCAACGGGAGAGGCCACAACAGTGAGTTAAAAAAAAAAAAAAAAAAAAAGTGGTATGAGAAACCTGAAGGCCATCTATATCGGTGAACAAATCCTCCTCTGGCAAAATGTCAGTGTGGTTTCATAACCGTAACTGGCCAATGAATGCTCTGGTATTTTAGGCATGTTACAGACACTAAAAAGGTATGTAATTTGGTAATCCTGTTAGATACAAGTATTATACATCTATGTAGGAGGTACAGAGATGAACTATGAAATCATAATGTTTTACTGTTCATCAAGATCATTTTGGATTTTCAAGGTAATCTGACTAGAAGGCTATCAGAATAATTATATAGTACTATATTCATTTACAGCGTGATATCTAAAAACATTTATATAGGTATATATATTTTTTGTGTAAACAGTATTCCAGTCTTGCTTTACAGATTTAATGGGTATTAGCGTAAGTTACAACAAAGGATACCACCTTAATCAAGTTCAGACCTGGCTGGTGAGCTCACTTAGTTCTTTTTCCGCCCTCAACTTCCCAAACTTCTTTGACAATGTTAGATGCCCTCTAAAATAAACCACACAACTCTGATGAGCTCTGTAACTAGCATCTAAGAGGAACAGTCATGATATGACACTAATGCTCACCTGCAGCAACTAATAGTGCGATACGGGTCAGCTGACATGGAAGCAAACACAGAAGTCACATTTTCACAGGCCTGCACCACTCAAGATTAGGGGACATACTGGCACAAAAACAGAAATATAGATCAATGGAACAGGTTAGAAAGCCCAGAGACAAACCCACGCACGTATGGTCACTTTACTTTTGATAAAGGAGGCAAGAATATAAGTGGAGAAAAGACAGCCTCTTCAACAAGTGGTGCTGGGAAAACTGGACAGCTACATGTAAAAAAATGAAATTAGAACACTCCCTAACACCATACACAAAAATAAACTCAAAATGGATCAAAGACCTAGGGCTTCCCTGGTGGCGCAGTGGTTGAGAGTGTGCCTGCCGACGCAGGGGACACAGGTTCGTGCCCCGGTCCGGGAAGATCCCACATGCCGTGGAGCGGCTGGGCCCGTGAGCCATGGCCGCTGAGCCTGCGCGTCCGGAGCCTGTGCTCCGCAATGGGAGAGGCCACAACAGTGAGAGGCCCGCGTACCGCAAAAAAAAAAAAAAAAAAAAAAGGTATTAAAGCCCTAAATGTAAGGCCAGACACTATAAAACTCTTAGAGGAAAACATAGGCAGAACACTCTATGACATAAATCACAGCAAGATCCTTTTTCACCCACCTCCTAGAGAAATGGAAATAAAAACAAAAATAAACAAATGGGACCTAATGAAACTTCAAAGCTTTTGCA